TGAGCCACCTCCAGTCCAGTATCTATTCTTTATAAATTACTTGGTCTCAGCCAGATACTGGTGGCCCATACCTGTAATCCTAGCTATCTGGAAGGCTAAGATCAGGAGGATCGTGGTTTGAGCCCAGCCTAGGCAAGTAGTTTGAGAGCCCATCTCCAAAATAGCCAGTGCAAAATGGACTGGAGGTGTGGCTCAAGCTATAGAGTGCCTGCTGTGCAAGCATGAAGCCCTGAGTTCAAAACCTAGTTCCACAAAAAAAAAGACTGTATTTAAGGTATTTTATTATAACAACCGAAAGTGGACTAACATCAAAGCTTTCTACTTTCTCCCTGAAATTTTCCCTTCCCTCAGGTTCTGTGGTCTTATATTCTCTTTTTCTTTCCTCCTACATTTTAGCCATAACTTTCTTTTTTTCTATAAAATGCTCAAATGTGACTTAAAACTCTCTCAGTAATGTCTTCCACTTCTCAAGAGCCATTTATACACCAAAGAGTCTCAAATTTTATATACAACTTAAACTTCTCCAAAAACCACAACTGCATATATTTAATTAGCTGACCCACAAGCAGTACCAACCCAAAATGATTTTATCACTCAGTCTATTTCTTTACAGCATCAACATGTGCCTAGTTCTTGGCTAGAAACCAGAGTGTTTATTATCTCCTTTCAGTGTCTCATCAGTACTGGCTTGTTTTTGCCTCACACATGCATCCACATCTCCATTTCCATTTTTTCAGGCAAGTTATCACCATCTCTCATTCACTGGTTTCCAATCTTTCCCACACACATCTTGCAGCAAAAGTAGTTTATCTAAAACACACCTGCCATCATAATGCTTCTCTGCCTCAGTCCTTTCTTTGGCTTTCCCTCATTCTTTGTGTGAAATCCTGACTCTACAGTGTGACTTTCAAGGCTCTGCCTTCATCTTCAGTCTCGTCAGACGCCTCTTTCATTGCTCTCCTACCTCTAGCTACTGGCCTTCTTTCAGCTGTTAAAAAGTGCTTCTTTCTACACAGAGGCCTTCACTCATGGTTGTTCCTCTGCCTAGGAAATTCCTTTCTTTCCCATCCTTCCTTCCAAGACTAGATGACTTTTACTTACCCTTCAAATTTCAGATTTAAATTCTTTTCTTCAAGCAAAATTTTTGCCTAGTACTACCACCTATGGAAACATAATTCTCTGGTAATGTATTCTCTTTCAGGGCACTTGCTATACTTGCATGTAAATGTTTTTTGGCATATTGATTTGTCTATTCTTGCCTGAGAGAATAGCTGTCATGTATATCTCCATTCACTGCTTCATCCCTAATTCTATCCTTGCACAAAGTTGGTAATCAATAAATATTTGTGAAACGGACAAATGAACCCCAACATATACCAATGCTATAGTAACCCCAATAAAGAAAACTATAGTAAAAATCAATAATCATAATTACAGCTGTGTCATTACAACAGACCCACAGATTTAATAAGTAAACTTTATGTTACTTATAAACTATCGCTTACTTATTTTTTATGTATAATGACAAGTATAACTTTTTACAGGACCAGAGTTGTATAAGACCAGTGCTGATAAGTAACATGCAACACTGAATAAAATTTTTAAACAAGGTACTGCTTTTCTAAGAAGTCAAAATACCCTCATAGTTAGCAATTGGAATAGGAATACAAAATTTACTAAGAATACTGTCGAAACTGTTGTAAAATGAATAATCAAATGTGTAAGAAATATTAGAAGTCCTCACATATAAAAAATCAAGATTTCTATAATAAACTACCAATTTCTTAATGTTTCGCAGGTTATATATTTAAACGACAAATAAGTAGCATAATGTTGGAAAACACTTTTCAGTATAAATGTACAAGACAGAAAACAGCTGCCAATTTATGCCACACATAAACTTGCAGATAAAAACTAATTGACTAAATCTTTATGACTCAACAAGTTTTTTTTTTATTCATTTGTGCATACAATGCTTGGGTCATTTCTCCCCCCTGCACCCACTCCCTCCCTTACCACCTACTCCGCCCCCTTCCTCTACCAACCCCCTCGACACCCAGCAGAAAATATTTTGCCCTTATCTCTAATTTTGTTGAAGAGAGAGTATAAGCAATAACAGGAAGGAACAAGGGTTTTTTTTTTTTATTCATATGTGCATACAAGGCTTGGATCATTTCTCCCCCCTGCCCCCACCCCCTCCCTTACCACCCACTCCACCCCCTCCCTCAACCCCCCCCAATACCCAGCAGAAACTGTTTAGCCCTTAACTCTAATTTTGTTGAAGAGAGAGTACAAGCAATAATAGGAAGGAACAAGGGTTTTTGCTGGTTGAGATAAGGATAGCTATACAGGGAGTTGACTCGCATTGATTTCCTGTGCGTGGGTGTTACCTTCTAGGTTAATTCTTTTTGATCTCACTTTTTCTCTAGTTCCTGGTCCCCTTTTCCTATTGGCCTCAGTTGCTTTAAAGTATCTGCTTTAGTTTCTCTGTGTTAAGGGCAACAAATGCTAGCTAATTTTTTAGCTAGCATCTAGTCCTTAGATGACTTCCTATCTCAATAATTGGCATTATTACTCAAACTCCAAACTTTGGCTCCATTGATCCACCCTCTTCAATTCTCCAGGGCTATAAACTACCTGCAAGTATTGTTAGTTTCTGCTTTTAAAACATACCATTACTATGCCCCCTCCTTTTCACCTTTTCTCTCACTTTCCTAATTCAAGCCACCAACCACCTTTGCCTGGACCACTGCAATAACTTTCCAACTGGTTGTCCTGTGCATCCTTCTGTTCTCCCATCACGCTCAGCCCTGTGGTTCATCTACCACCTTGCAGCCAGTGGTACCTGTTCCCATACAAATGTAAGCATGTCATTCCTGTGCTTGAAAGAATAGTCTGAAATCTGTACAAATCTCCTTACATGACCTGGCCACAGCCTAATTTCCCCACTGGGTCTCTTAACTTACCTTCTCTGTCACACTGTACAGCTTTCTGTTTCTAAGGACATTCCAAACTTCTCATTTAGGGTCTTTCTAACTGCTATTCTTTCTGGCTGGAATGCTCTGTCTTAGACTTTGCATGGTTATTTCCTTATCATCACATCTCAGGTCAACCACCACCCTTCCTCATCCCCAACCCAAAAGCCCCCACTCCATCTTAATAAATCCACAGTTGACCTTCAGCACATCACTCTGTTTCATTCTTCCTACTATTTTCCATTACTTGACATTTTTCTATTTTCCCCTCTAGAATGCAAATTTCCTGAGCACTGGAATTTACTAGTCTTGTTCACTATTTGTGCCCAGTGCTTAGAAAAGTGCTTGATACATAGTAAATGCTCAGTAAATATATATGAATATAACTAATGGTAATAACAACAAAAGAAATAGCTCAAAGTACAAATGATCACAGAATTAAGAGTCAAAAAGATGTGAATTTGCATCACATGGCTTCATGTACACTTTAATAATACCAGTGGAGCTTGTTACATATTAGATATCTCAAATATTATGATGAAAATACCTTATTTTACAAAGAATGTTCACCTCTACATTATGTAAGAATAAAATTAATTAAAAAAAACTTCCTTTATTACATGAGAAAAAAAACTGGCAGTGCTGACATTTGAACTCAGGACCTTGTGCATGCCACACAGGTGCTCTATCACTTGAGCCATGCCCCTAGCCTTTTTTGTTTTAGTTATTTCTCAGACAGGGTCTTTTTTTTTTTTTTTTTTGGCCCAGATGAGCCTCAGACTACAATCTTCCTACCTACACCTCTCATTATGTATGTGTACCATTATGTCCAATTTGTTTTTTGACAAGCTGGAAGTTTCACTAAATTTTTTGCCTAGGTTAGTCTAGAAGTTCAATCCTCCTATTGGCCTCAGAAGTAGCTGGGTTTATAGTCATGAGTCATTGTGCTGATTCTTCAATGAAATCTTTTAAAATAAGTAATTTTAAATAAATAAGCATTACAAATGAAAGAGAAAAGCCAGGTGTCCTTCCTTCAACAAAAATGAAATGGTCCCTTTATCAAAAGCATTGAAATCAGAAGCACTGAAAGAAATACCTTGATGTGAAGATGAATTTAAACAATGAATATCAATTCTGAATGCAGAGAAAGTCTATCTAAAGCTAAGTTAGTTTCCCAAGGGCCTAGATAAGCAGAGGCTGTGTGTTTATGCCTGAAGTTTCCCGTATTTAAGGACCTATGGTGCTCAGAGTTTGGAAGAGGTTAATCTAGAACCCCCAATCCTCCAAGGGCTCATACCACACTCTTATTTGTAGGACACAGTAGTTAATGACACAGTAGTTAATGACACAGTTAATGGGAATGATTTAAACCTATGTCTTAGCAAAGTAATAAATTACTGTGTCTCATGGATTTTGAGGGTTGACATGAACAAAGCCAGAGACAAATGAACATCATGAAATCTACTCACTGCTTTTGGATGGTTCTCCTGAGATAATAATTACCTTGGACATTAGTTAAAAGTTTTTTTTTTAAAGTAACTAGCAAACGATTTACTCCATTGGATCTATTTACTAAATACTACAGATCATGAATACAACCACTGAGATTACTTACAGTAGCAAACAAAAATAGCAGAAGGCACTTTATCTCTGTTAATCGATTGCCTTTGTTACACAACATTGTCTGGAAAAATCTGATTACAATTCTAACTGCAAGCCACAGTAATCATGTCAATACGTGAGCTATCTGAATATCTAATTATGAAAAAAAGAAGGCAATTTCACAGTGGAAGTACTGTTCTAATTCAAGAAACCAGCCATATTAACTTATTACTCTGACATATAGTAGATAGCTGAAAAACTTTAATTTGAAAGATAATTATTTTCAGCTGATTAATATGCTTCAAATTAAATTCACTGCTTTTAATGGGCCATCAACTTGACAACCTGGGAAATTAATAAATTTTGCATGCAGTAATCCTAGGAAATTTATACAGCTGAGCTACACATCATTATAAGGATTACCTTCACAGTAGGCATTGTCCTCCCGAAGAGCCCTAAAACCATCTCGACAGCTGCACACGGCCCTGTCATTCAGATTTCTGCAGACAGAATTTTCCATGCAGTTATGCCTCTCAGAACAAAAGTCATAACCTATAAGGAAAACATTTTTAAGGTAAATGAAACTATGACAAACAAACTGTCTACTTCACATTTCCTTTAATTGTGAAGCTATTTTCTCTATTTAAAATTAATATCTTCATTAATGCTTATAGGCGAATCACATACATGAGTACCAATAAAGTTCTTCTTTATGTGGAACTCAATTTCCTTCTTCAAGTTAATCCCACTCTCTTTGTTTCTTGACTTTGTAAATGTTACCTAGGCATGAATATTCTTATTATAGCTCTCCACACATTTGAAACAAGAAGAAGAAAACCTTCTTTGACTCCAAAATGAAGCCCTGCAATAAGATGATGACTCAATAGGAAGATAATCTGGGCATTTCCAATAGGTGTGGGTGACACTGAGCAAGCCACATGAAATGGGCCTATTGTGTCTAAAAAATGAAAAAGACAGCACAGCATTCTTTTCAAAAAACTTCCTGAATGTGTAAAGAAATGAAAATTATATCACTTTAATCTATTTTTCTCTGGGGATCTGCAAGGCAAAGTATGACTACTCAAAAGAAGAAGAAAATTTTTATGAATTACAGATTCCAGAGTCTTTATGATAGGAAAAAATGGAACTTTTATAAACACTGACATCAATCATGTATAATTTTTCAGCATTTCTTTCACCTATTTGAACGCCTTCTACAAAGATCACATTAGATGCTGAAATGAAAAGCTTGAACCCTAGATACAGAGTCTATGGAAATTACATAATTACACATCATTTGACAAATTTTTAAATGGCTTAATGCATAACTTATCTATCTAGTTTTAAATTGTCTAATGGGTTATTCTTTCAGCCCACATATAAAAGGACAAGAAGAGGATGTCTCATGTAATTCATCTATGCATAGGCAAGAAAAAGCCTTTTTATGAGAAAATCATGAAGAAGGAGTTCTAAACTGGTTCATCTTGTTTGTAGCCAAACTAATATCCATTGTGATTGACTATTATACACATTCTGGCTTGTTGATGCTTATAATATTTTGAATTTCCCTCCAGAACTAATACATATCCTTCATTAAATGCAACTGTGATAGACAGCAAAAATACTATTGATAGAATTTAACAAGCCTTAATTCAAAACATGCAATGGTACCATTAAGAACAGATAGAAAAATTAAATAGGTTAGTGATTTCTACAACAACAAAATACAAAATGGGTATATGAAAACCAGAAGAATATGGTCAATAACAACATTTAAATGTCTTGGAAACTTAAACTTCCCTTGAGAAGGTTCTTCATAATTTAAGTTATGAAGATTAAGGCTGATTGTTAAGAAGAAGAAAAGTTAAAAATGCTTTCTCCTGTGCCCTTTTTTATTTTCTCATTTTTTAAGAAGTTAAATTATGACCATATTTCTTAAAATGTATTCCATTGTCTTTTTAGCCTAAAGGGGAACAATCTAGATGGCTTTTTATTTCATATGGTCCACTCCATAGTGTACATGGAGAATCAAATTCTAACACAATACTAATTCTCTGTATAATTTTACATGTAATGTTTCAAACAACTTTTAGAAGGCTGTGACTAAGAATGGGTACCATTTCTCATGCATTTTTACTTTTCTTTCTTGGTTTTATACTTTTCAAAGCTATATTTCAACTTTTCACTTTACTGACATCTCTTCTTCCATTTTTAAGAATTCACCAATATTACCTCTGCCATGTGATATGCCTCATCTATTGCAACCTCTTTTCACTCCTGCCTCTGTAATGGTGAGACCGCTTATCACAGCATCAAATGTCACACATGCACACAAACACACACTACACACTGCTTAGTTGCTGCAAGGATTTTCCAAGTGTGATCCTACTTCCACCATTTTCAGTAAAAATTTAAAAGTGCTTGGGATTTTAATTAACCCAAAAACTTGAAAACCAAAAACTTCAATCAAATTTCATTTACTATAAACAATGTCAGATAGCAATTTTGATTTATTTTCTTAAAAAAAAAACCTCCATTGGTTCTACTTATATTTTACTGTCTACATACAAAGTGCCCAGGTCAAAAGGTTCACTACTAATGGGTAGAAAATTCAGAATCAGTTGAAGAGGGCTGTTTCTAATCTGCAAGGAATAGCTTCAAAAATCAGAGAAGGAGTTGACAATACTATCTTCATAGTGCATTTTTATTCATATGTTTGACTTTTGAAGTTTGCAAATCTGAGTTTATATCTGATATCTGCTGCTTGCTGTCTGAGTAAATTACTAGCTATGTAAGTTAATTAACCTTTTTAAGCTTAAATTTTTCTTTTCCCTTTTAAAAACTTTTTAATGGCATAAATTAATTGCACAAAGTGTTTCTATTGTGATATTTAACTGTATGCATATAATGTCCTTTGATCAATAGTACCTTTAGTTTTTCTTCCTGTAGGATTAGGATAATTTTTACCATGTAAAAATATAAGATCATATAAGTAAGATCACAATTGTGTACTATTTGTTGATAACTAAAGCCATTAGAGTATTATTAATAAGCTAAACTCAAATATATTCACATCCAAATCACAGAAGAAAATTTAAATATGTGCTATAAGCAGGTGGATGGGTCAATTGCCTAATATAAACTGGCACTTCTTCATTTCTTCCAAGTTCTCTATTCTCTTTGTAAGAAATGTACATAAACTCTACTTTTCTATTAAGATAGAATTTCCTATACGATATAAACATGCATCTTTCATAACTGGGGAAGAAGTGATGGGTAGACACAAAAGGTGAGTGGGTAAGAGTGATATACACCATGGTAATACATAACCAGGAGGAATAGTGTACAATAATTGTGTGGTGAATATTTACTGGTTTTGCCTTATACTTTTAGGAAAAGAAAAAAATAGTTATATTTTAGATGAACCACTCACTTCTACTGTCAGTCCAGGTGCTTACAGGAAAATGGACTCCACCTCTCTATAAGATAAAGCCACATCAATCAATGCATTCCATTGGTCTAGACACAATTTTTTCAGTTCAGGCTAGTGAAGATCATTGAAACTTGATTCAGGTACTTTTGTTCAACTCATGAGGTTATTAAACTTCTTCTTACACCTATCTGAATATCATAATGACATGAGCATTAGAATGTCAGGGGTCTACTTGAGAACACAGAAAGCCTGAAAACAGTCACCACAGAGAAGAAAAGCTGAGAGGCAAAGGTAGAGGATTTGAGATCTAAACCAAGAAATACCTGAAGCTAATTTTCCCTCTTCTTGTTGGGGCCCATATGTTCCATTTTCTGGCTAAATAGAAATTGGGTTTTCTATCACTTGCCCATAAAAGAATACTAACATATTTAGGCATTGTTTGCAAGATAATGTGTTTTCCTAGTGTTTCCCAAAGTGTTCATGTATGTGCATGAACATGAAAATACTAATAGCAATAGATTTTTTTCAGTTCACCTTAAGCAATGCACAGATCTAGCAGATGATTACATAATTTCACACATACCTATGCTTAGTAATGATACTAAATTTTACAAATTGAGTTAACAATCAATATAAAAATATTTTTAGTAATTATCAGTAATACACCAATACCAATGAACACGAAGGTGATAACTGAATATTGTGGTAAGCTATGGATTATCCAGACATGAAAGAACAATCTATACCAACCCAGTCATCCACATGTAAGTTTTCTCTTACTTAAAATTATGAGTTGTGATGAAGTAAATAATAAATTAAAGTGAGACATTAATGAGTAGTACTTAATCACCTTTAAGCAGAGAATGGGGGTGCCAAGGAGGGACAGAGGAAGGGAAGGAATGCAGATATAAAGCCACATACATTATTTCTGTATCTAAGTTACAGTCCTCCCTGTATCACCGAATCTCTGTATCACTTGGTAAAAGCATCCTTTTAAAAGGGCTCTCAAATATGGAAAAAAAAAAGAAAACTGAAAAGCTTTCCTGCTACATTTCTTCTGACCTGTTACTACAGAAGACAGCCAGCTGCAGGGTATCTCAAAAACAGTCTTGGTTGGATTTGGTTTGGTGCCTAGCAATTTGGAGCCTTATTTCAGTGCACAGCTTGGTTTCTGAGCACTGGCCAAGCCTCTAGTGGAAAGGTCAACACTTTCATCTCATGCTCTACCCTCAGGGAATATTTACTAACCACTGTTGAAAAACTTGCCCTTTCTGATGTAAACACTGTATGTTTAACACCAAGAAGACAGGGCTGGAAACTGGAAGCCAATTTTATTACAAATGAATTTGTCCCAATGTATGTGTAGGAGTTGACTTCTGACTCTAAAAAATTGAACTTTTTTTAGTTTTATTGTCAGACAATGCCCGGAGTCATTATTTATTCTGCATATTTGAAGTTAAATAGGCATACAATCTTTTTTATAAATAGTATTCCATGTTTCAAGAAGGGCCAAATCTAGACGGACACAGTGATGCATGACTACAACCTCAGCTACTCAGGATACTGAGGCAGAAAGAATACAAGTTTGCAGCCACCCACTCTGGGATACTTATTGAGATGACTCTCAAAAAAGAAAAGAAAAAAGAAAGAGAATTTATCACGGAATTTTTAGAGTGATGTCAAGGCCCCACCTCCTATCAACTATAACCAGAATCTCAGGCAGAGAGGGTGTATGTCATGGACTTGTCATTCTATTATTAAATATGCTATGAAAACACATTAACTTTTATACTGTAAAGAATTGAAATATTAAACAGGTTTTATAGTTAGCTTTTTCTCTCCACTTGTTTACTTTCTTTTTACAGTGTACTAGGATTCTTTCAGAAGGAAATGGATTTGGTTAGAACATCTCGAATCTGAAAAGTCCTAACTTTGGGACAAACTCTTGTCCCAAACCCCGTTGACTGACTTCTGTGGTATTCATCTCTCTAAGCAGCATCTGAACACCTGTACTAAATTAAAGATAATCATAATTTTTTAGAACTCCTCTTACATATGAAGGAGTCTATTTCTCCTCCCCTTGAATCTGAGCTGGCATATGGAAGAAATGATGTTATACCAGTTCTAGACTTCATCTTTAAAAGCCCCGAGCCATTGTTTAGTCTCACTAGTATCCTGCTGGAGACAACATAGGGAAAGTACTGAAAATAGGTGGAAACTGGGAGTCTTGGCTGTGCTCAGCCTCCCAGCCATCTCTACCACGATGCTCACAGAGAGAGGCTATCTTGAACCCCCTAGCCCTGCCCAACTTCCAATGAAAGCATAGGGAAACTAAGATCTGTCTGAATTTCTGACCCATGATATTTAGATCTATAATAAAACTGCAGTTGTGTTAAACTACTTTGTTTTGAGTCAGTTTGTTATATGGCAATAGGTAAATACTTAAAATGTGGCCCTGCTGCCCTCAGCATGGGCATCATCTAGGAGCATATTAGAAATGCAGATCCATGAGTCTGAACCCAGACTTACTGAATGGGGTTATAAGATCTTTGAGGTAATTGGATGCACATGGAAATTTGAGAAAACCCAACTTTGGCTGCCAAAGGCATTCTAGTCAAACTGCAATTGGAAGTCTCAAGTAAAAGGACTGAAACAAGCATTCTAGATTCTTATCAAACTCCACACACTCTCTGTTGAAGGCACTGGCTCAGGCACTATGAGGGTGAAAACTCTGATGTCCTCAATATATGTCTACTTGATTGTAGTTCTTTTTAGAAGTGTTTCCTCATCACAAAAAGCTACCCTAAAAGCTCCCTGAAAAGCAGACCAAGTCTTAAATTACTATGCAATTACCACAGCCCACACAGAACTGAGATTTAAAACTCTTCATTGACTGAATAGAAGATGAGCTTAAGCAAAACAAAACAAAATGAAAACAAAAACAGAAACAAAATGTTCCAACCTACTATAAGGGAGGGAGGTGACAGATGTCTACTTTTGATAGAGTTGGTTAAAAAGAAACAAAATAGTGTCAGTTTCGTAAAATTTCTTGTATTCCAACAAGTTCTAGTAGCTTATTTGAGGCAGTTAGTTTACATTCATTATGAGCACTAATTACGTTGTCATATTAGGTATTATGTATAGAAATGAGTACAAGGACTCAGTCCTGTCATGCAGGTACAGAGCCTACTGCAGGAAGTGGCCACACAACTATACAATTTCAACATAATACAGGAAGGTGCATGTAATTTCATGATTGGCAGGATCTTAAAAAGTTTCATATAACTAATGCTCTAGTTTACTGTTTGAATCTACTATATGGCCCCAAGTTTAAGGACATTTAGTGAAAGGAACTCACTGCCTCTCCAGGCAGTCCCTTACATTTCTGAGCAGCTTGGGTTCTGACATTTTCTTACATTGAACTAAAACTTTAAGTTCCTTCTACTGATTCTCAGAGGCAACACAAAACAAGCAATGCATATCTATGCATTCATCTACTTCTCTGTAGTCTAGAAGCCTGTGAATAAAAAAGAGTAGAACTGATGAGAGTTGATCTGTAGATCAACTACAGAAACAAACTGAGGAGAAATGAAAAATAAGCTAAAAACTTTTGCCAAGCAACAGTAACTGTCAATAAGATAACTAAATCAACACTGTGTATCTTTCTTCAGCAGAGGTGGGCTGACTCAGACCCAGCACAGAGAGAGAGGTTTAGAGATCCAGAGCTTGAGACAGGTACCAGCATGCAGCAGAAATGCTTGGGCCATGCTGATTCAAATTCAATTCAGCAAATATATCATGACTACCTTCCATGCACTAAATTCAGTCATGTACTTCCTACACATGTATGAAAACAGAATGGAATAATGAAGTCTGTTAAAAATTATTTTTAAAGGTGGGGAGAGGATAAGAAAGTGTAACAGAGAGATTAATTTGATCAAAGTACAGTATATGCATGTAGGGAAACATCACAATGTAACCTCTTTGTATAATTAATATAAGCTATCCAAAAATATTGTAATGATCAGATCAGGGTGATTGGCATATGACCTCAGACTTATACTGTTTCTTTGTGTTGGGAACATTCAAAATCCTTTCTAGTCACTATTTTGGAATATCTAATTAATTTTTGTCAACAAGTTATCCTACTGTACTACAGAACATTAAAAGTTATGCCTCCTGTCCAGTGTACCCCTGTACCCATAACCATCCTCTCTTCATCTTCCCTCCATTATACCTTTCTCGGCTTTGGTAACCATTACTCTGTTCTGTACTTCTTTGAGATCAACATTTCAGTTTCCAAATACAAGTATGACCATGGTATATGTCCTTGTGTCCCTAACTTATTTCACTTAACAGAATGCCTCTAGTTCTATCCATGCTCTTGCACATAACTAATCTTACTTTATAAAACAAAAAGTCTTACCTTTGCAGACTTTGCAGCAACTATGAGACAAGGTAATCTGCTGAGACTCTGCACAATCTAAATCTGGACAGCCTGAACTTTCAACAAGTTTCATGGTCTGGTCCTGTAAAGGCAACAGAAGAGAAATCCCTGGAATTCATAACTAGGTCTTAAACAGAAGTTTCCAGACCCAGCATATGACAAGGTTCTTCTAACATGCAGTGAAGTGTTTATCCTGAGGACCTATGCATAGGTCATAAGCTCACTCCAAAGAAAGGACATTAAAATCCTACTGGAAAGCCATCAGAAGAGAAAGCAGTTTCAGGATTCAGAACACAGCATACTACAGCCATGTCAAACATCACGTAATCCTAAAACTTTCTGTTACTTTCATAGCACATTTGCAAATCTAATGACAACTGTGGCAATGACAGAGAAAGAATTAGATCAACAATTCACTTTGAAAACAACTGTAAATAAAAATTGAGCTTTTTTAAACATGGTAATTTCAAAGTTTTCTTATAAAGTTCTGAGAGTCTCACTTTTGATTCTATAAGAAAAATGAAGATGGGATTCTAGTGTCTCAAAAATTAATGTCTAGCATATTTTCTGTAACACAGATGGTATTCCAATATTTTCTTGAATGAATGAATAAACCAATATAAAATCATTATAGTTTCAGCAACCAAAATAAGTTAAACCCTTCTCAAAGAAAAACCAAAACAGAAATTCCTTTTCTGTCAACTATAGCCCTGTTGTTGAAGTGAATATCTGACTTCTATGCTGTCATCTCTGATCTCTTAAGAATAAAGGTTTCAACAATATCACATTATGCTTATCAGTACAAAAGTAGTAAAATAACTTCTGGAACTTGTAGGCTTCCACTTTTACCTCTGCTCTATAACTTAAGAGTTTTGGTTTCATTTCTATAAGAAATTCTTTCCTAAAAGAAGGACACATTTCAGTAACTGCATTTTTCTGGCTTATTTATGTCAAGGTCCTGCTCCAGATCATAATCTCGTATCAAGAAAATGGCAGAAGACATAATGCTGTGGAGTAAAATTCAAGTCTTCCTTTGGTTTTACAGTAATGTCAGTTCTGGTAATCTTAAGTTCAAAACCACAATATTGTTCTGTGGTAAAGTCACAGACCCCTAGGACATATTTTCAAGGCCACAAAACTAACAATAAAAGAACAAACTGGAACCAGAATTGACAGCCCAGAAAATGGAAGCATGCGAGATCTGTCAATTACCTAAAGTTGTGAATACAGGAACTAAGGGCCTAAAGGGAAAAGAAACAGTGGGAGTTCTTATGGTCAAGAGTTCAGTCACGAACTCAAAAGCTTGTGTTGATCTGAGAGAGCCATGCGGTCTAATCAACAGCCACTCGCTTATGTGGCTCTTCAACACTGTGACTGTAAAATAAAAGATTCTGAAGATGGAGCATGACAAGAGCATGGAAAATGTTTCATTAATAATTTCTATGTTGATTTCACTTGATATGGTAATGTTTTAGATATGTGAGATAAATACTAAAAATTCATCCCGACAAAAATGGTGGGTATCCCATGCATAACATTCTACTGGATAGCACAGCACTTACAGAGTAGAAAATGCTTTGTGCCTTTTGTTTAAATAAGTAAAAGGTAAGGTTTATCTAATATTTACTAAACACCTACAGTGTTTCCTATATATAGACTTCCAACTAAATGAACTTTAAATCAAATCACTTTATAGCACTTCTAAAAATCAAAGAAACAAATGTCCACGTAAATTTTTAAATCACAACAATCAGTATTATGGAGTGCATGCACAAACACACTGAAGCAGAGAGATTTCAAGTGCCCTCTAAACTCAGAGCTGGTATTTCAAAGTTAGAGATTACCACTAGAAACCAACAGACACAAAGTTTTCTACTGTCCTTAAAGTAACTTTTTCTCTGATTCCCTTTTATCATTTTGGAATTACTAGATCTCATGCCAAGTCTTCCAAATCCTTCTACCTACAGTGGGACTTACTCCACTAGAAATAGCACTGGCAGAAGGTGCAACTAGTGAAAATTCCATCTTGAAATTCATGATAATGTTCCTATGCCTCACTTCTCTTATCTTTAAAATGCAACCTAATCAGAGGAATGCCAATTTAAAACCAAAAGAGACAGTATGAGTACTTTGTAATGGCAGGAAAAAGTGATGGCTTTTATGCTCTAGATATGAAGTCTGTCACAGTCTTGTCTCTTTACATCTCCTCCTTGTTTATCCCAAGGGATTTCCAAAATGAGGTGCATAAAATGGATCTTCTTTCATGTTTAAATTATCATGATAAATTCTTATGAGTTTCCTTTTACAAACTCTTAATAATCATATAGATGTTCCCAGTTTACTGGTGCTACAAGCCGAGTAAATCACTCATTTTAATTTTTATATAACCTCTACATCCCCAAATCATTCTCAAATCCATACAGAGGAAGCATTTAAAGAGGAAAACTAAAGATCAAATTTAATATAACCCTATAGCAGACACTTCATATGTAGACAGTTTCCTTCTGATAAGAGTATGGATTGACATATAACAATAGGTCAGGAAACATAACATTTAGTTTTTAAAAGGCAAATATGAAAAGCACTCAAAAACAAACAGCTTTTTAGGCCAAAAGTGAAGGAGCAGAGTTCAAAAGAAACACACTGGTTTCAGAAATATGCCTCAAGAGACCAAGGAAAGTAAATTTTTAAGAAATTCTCACTTTAAAATACTCCTGACAGGTGAATAAAATCAATATGGATCTCATCTCCATACAACTAACTTTTATTAAGTAACTTTATGTTTTGTTTTTAATTGAACTGAGTTATAGTTCTCAACTAGGTCAAAATCATGAGCGACAAGAGCTGAGTCTGTCTTTACCTTCCCTCTTTGATTGTTTAAAGCAGTAAATGAGGAGCTGATTTGAATTCGAAAAATATAAGACAATTTCAAAAAACTTTAATGAGACAGAAGAGCAATTTTATTTATTGCAAAATTACGGTATTAACTTATGGTTTTGAAAGCTTTTGGGTATTTCTTTACATTTGAACTATAATTGATACTTTGAATTTTCTGTCTTTGAAGAGTATTATAAGGGTGAGCTTTTAAAGAAATATTTACTATGTTTATATAATTGAAATAATTCTGAAAGACCCATGACAAGTCTCCTTACCTTGCATTCATATAAAACACACACACCAGAAGAGGAATAGACTGTATTTCGTTCTCCTTCAAAGTAGGTTCGTCCTTGAAATTGGCATATGGCTTTGGAATAAAAAATACATATATTGACGTTTTAATAGAGAAAACAATTTCACATTTTCATAGACCCCATTCAAAGTGTTTGAATGATTATAAACTTAAATTTAATCGACTATAAGGTACACATAAATGTAAACTTAAATTAGCATCTTGCAAATTGAGAGAGTGAAATGAGGTACAAAAAGGATAATGAGGTACTCTGACTTGCATTGCATTGCATTAGAAGTCAGAATAAGACTCTGGAAAAGGAGTTTGAAAAGCAGACTCACAGCCAATTACCTGCCTGATAGATGATGTCCCACTTAAGACATATTAAATAGGTAGTTAGGGTGGCAACAAATCACCAGCAGTAAAGAATGAAACAGGTTCATTTTTACATACCATTATGGAATTTTAAAACATAAAATTAGATTAAAAAGCAATCTTAACTTCAGCATGTGTATATAAACTTTATGTTTTATAATTCAGTAATATCTTATTTATAAGCATATATGAGTTGACACAGTCCCATATGTAGGAAGTCAAGGTAACTCAATCTGCTTCTATCTCAATGGCATAAAAATTAAAAACATGACTCAGAAACATAGAAAACCATGTTTTAACTAGTTAAAAAACGTACACTATCAAGTAATCTCTTCATGAAACTTGCAAACTATTCACAACTCATAGAAACATTTAGCCAAAAGAAACTGTTTACTTATTTTGAAATGAGTACTTCCTGCCATCTAGGTTGATTCAGCTCTTACAGAGGTGGAGTCTCCTCCTTGATGCTAATGAAGCCTAACTTTTAGGGTCTTACTCTGGCTTAGGCTCCTTCAAAGATTCTAAACTCAATTTTGCATTTATAATTTTGCATCGTCTTTCTCTGAAAGGACATCCAATATTGCAAATGATGCGAACAGATTCTGCTACTTTGTTTCCCATATTTACTAAATCCAACTCATTATTTTAGCCATATAGATCTTACAAAGTAAATGTGTACATTAGCTTTTAATTCCATTATGTAAATTAGAAGAAATTCATTCTTTGGAATTTGTATTTTCCCATTACCTTTTTTCAATTTTATTACCATATATTCATTGTACAGGGGGATTCATTGTGCCAATTCTGTTACACTGTACATTGGTTAGCTAACCCCCACTCTCTCCCCACTGCATCCCCTGCCCTGTCCCACTTAAAGCAATTGCAAGAGGTTTCTTTCTTCTGTTGCATATATGTATATGAAGCCCATCAACCATTTTCCCTCACCTTCATCTCCTTCATTTACTCGCCCCTCCACAAGTATCGCCACACACTGTACCTACTTTATAGTCCTGTCTTTCATTATTAATTCCAAAGTCAATGTTCAAAGGGGTATTTTGATGTATCCCAACTATGAGTATACTTTACTTTAGTCAAGCATCAAATTGCCAATAACAATTGGTAACACAGAAATTAGACACACTCGTGTAACATCAATATATTTTTGTGTAAATATTACTACTTACAGTACAACTCAACTTTCATCTTCACCAAAAATTGTTTAAACTGCACATTTAAATAATGGAAACCATGCACATGTTTAAGAAGTCATCCTTCAACTAATCTCCTTGCTCAGTTTATATTAGCAAATTTGACTACATAATACATGTTTATCAGCCAATTGATTATAAATTTGTGCTGGAAAAGAATACAACTTCCTTGCATATATTATGTTACTTAAAGGCTGGCTGAAGCTTTCTAGATCATGAACATTCAAAATGAAACTACAGACATGTCAGTTGCACATTATGAATTAAAATAGCATGTGCACTTACTTAATGAACCCAAGTGATTACAAAATACATTTCTTCAAAGTGTAATTTAGAGTGTACTTTTTTTCCTTATGAAATCCAGTAAACTCAAAATACCAATATTTGATATATATTGCATGTTTAATTATACTTAATAAGTACCACATTTTGTAAGATGAGAATAAATAAAACCTTTCTTCTATTCAGCACCTGCCTTTTAAAGGTTTCTAAGCCAATTATATGACTTGATGACTACAATCAATTCAAGTTTGAAGGCATGTAGAAGAAAAAAAACCTGATGTTCCAACACAGAGGGGAAAGGAAACACAGTAAAACAAAACAAAAATCAAACAACAGCAACAAAAAAACCACAAGGATAAAACCTCCTTATACAGTCTTAGGATAATCTGATAATCATGCTGAGCAAATGGACCTTCTGTTCTAAACTCTTAATTCAAAAGACTCAAATAGGCAACATGTGGGACAATAGAGCTTGGCAGAAGGAAAAAGCACAAAAAATGAATGAGATCACAATTGCTTCATTCCCTTTCAAGCAATAAGCACAAACTGTGAACTTGGCTTAATGAGAAGCCAAAGTAAGTGAATTTTGTCTCATTTCTTTTTTTTTTTCATCAGTTATTGTGATTCTTTATAATTCTAAGCTTTATGTGGAATATTCAATAATGCCAGTAAGATATATTTTCCTGAATCTCTATAGGGGAAAATATGAAGAAACTCAGAAAAGTTATAAACATTCCTGAAAACACTGTAAGGAATAATGAAAATACCACTAAAATGGTTGTGGAACTTTTCAAAGGAAAAATTTGAGGTAGTAATAGTAATCTGAATCTGCTCAAACATTTAACAAATATGTACTGAGCTCCTTCCTACATACTAAATATCCTGCTAAGTACGAGGGTACAAAAATGAATGAGACATGATTTGTGCCTTCGCTACCTGATAGAGCAGATAGACTCACACAACTAAATGCAACAGGACTCAAACTGAAATTCTATAATTAAACAATGCCTAAGTTGCAGGGGGGAAAAGGAGACTAAGTGGTGAACTGGGAAGGGAGAGGGGATCAAATTTAAGGAAACAAACAAATGAGAGTAGATCAAGGACTCCAACTCTGGTAACAGCAGGAAGTCATCATCAACTTAGGGCAAAAAAACAGGAGTGGGAAATAGTTTTATAGGAGCCCAATGTGAGTTAGGTAGAGAGGCTTCCTAAGGAGAGCTACAATCCTGAAAGCACAGCTTCTGCCAGAGAAGCTGCCTGGTGCAGAGGAACTGGAAAGAAATATGGCTAACCCTTTCCCCCATTCTTATAGTTTCCTGTCAGCATCTCCCACTGGAAAACCTACACAAGCTAGCTGTCAAGGAGACCAAGGTGATGCAGTTAGCACAAGTGAGGTTCCTGGAGTACAGAGCAGGAGAAAGAACGGATCTGGGAGCACGAAGTTCCCAGGCAGGACAGTTCACTGTAGGCATTAAGAGGTCTCGTTCACAAGGATGGGTTGCCAAGAAGACTATAAGTGAAGTTCATGACAGTAAGTTTTGAAGAGAAAAAACAGACACATATTTTTCAAATGTGATTCTACTTTAAGGAAAAATCCAGACAGTTTATCTAAACAACTTCCATAGGCAGCCAGAGGGTAAAATGAAGGAACTGAGCCCTGGGAGATCAAATGTCTAAACATTAGAGGGAAAGCAGATCATTCCATGTCCTGATGTTAACCAAGGCCTGCCAATGCCAGTATCAGGGTCAAAGTCTCAGAGATGACAGTAATCCCTATGATTGCCACAGTGACCATCTCTAGAATTCCTTAACTGAGAAGTATGTGCCTGCTTGCTTTTTCCACTATAAGTAAAAGAAATCATGTTCTCAACAAAACAGTGAAAGAATATCATTTTCTGCATTTATTTCTTCTTTAATTGCACTCGCACAATCATATTCAGAGCTTCCTTTCTTTCCTAACTTTGTGTGTGTTCGTTAAGTGTGCATGTGTGAGCATACACAGCATTATGTTTCTTGTGCCATAACTCTGGATTCCTACATCTTAAGTCATTTACCATCCTGAAGCAGAATTATATCAATTAGGCCATATTTTTAAAAATCTATGTTGAATGATTGAAAGAATACATTACGTATGTTTTTTACATGAAGATATGATGCTTTATATATTTTAAGATATAAAGCTTCTAGGCAGATTATATTAATTCAATCATGTAGGCTTTTTACTTTCTGGACCAAGAAGCTAGATTCATTTAAAATCAGTCTAACCTACAGCACTATCGCTATTGCTTAGTTATTATTAATCAATGTCAAACGTATATTTACTGTAACTGCGGTGTTGCTGCTGTTTATTTAACTCCAGAGGGTGCCACTCCCATCATGGTCAATATGAAATATGTCACCCAGATATTTCTAGCATACAGTCTGTTCAGGAGTTATGAGGACATTCATAAGTACTCAGGGAAATTTAATAGGATGATATAGTAATTGGTGTATATATTTTACCAAAGCTATACACTAAGTACATAGTTACTAGTACCACAATTATGAGAATTTGCAAAATCAATTAATATGAATGCTTTTCACTTGGTTTCCCCCAAATTTAACAATGTAAATACAATTAACATCAAATAGAAAGTCAGGAGATAGAATGCACATTTGACAATCATCAGTTGTTAAAAAGTGAAAGTATAGGCCAAGCACAGATGGCTCACATCCATAATCCTAGCTACTTGGGAGGCTGAGATCAGGAGGATCGCAGTTGAGGCCAGCCTAGGGAAATAGTTCTTGAGACACCCATCTCCAAAATAACCATAGAAAAACTGGCTGGAGTGGTGGTTGAAGTGGTAGAATGAGTACTTTACTAGCACAAAGCCCTGAATTCTAATCCCAGTATTACAAAGGGAAAATATAACACAGATTGAGAAACTGATGAGAGAAGCTAGTAACGTGAACATTCTAAATCACACAATAAAATTCTGATTTTCTGGTCATTAATGCAGAACAACTGCAATCTCCTCTAAAGAGACCCAAATCTACTTTTGCTAACTTTCGTAGAAAAAAATTATCCAAATCCATATACAAGCAAATGGTATATCATATTTCACTTATAAACATTTTCTTGCTCACTACATATCTTGCTTCTTCTTTCTATTCATGAAATGAAAATTTATGCTTCTACTTTAAATTTCCTACTTGGTATCAACACCTTTA